CTATCCAGGTTAATGACAGATTTACTCCTGTTTGCTCCTATTAAAGGGCGAATAGAGTCCAAGCTGGCCGGCCATAATCGAAGCAACTCAACTACTCAGCCACTAGTGCCAAAGGTTTTTTATTCATTGGAGACGAACTCCGATCGTATACGTTTGCTAACTGAATATATAAATAGCATTTAAAAGAAATGGAGGCCTTAAGTTTTGTTTAAGCCCACTTTTTGGACAATAATTGTTTGCCTACCTCAACTTTAATTCTTAAATCGATCAAATGAATGATAAAAAACTAAAAATATAAGGAAATGGCGACGAAAAATTGCAAAGAAAGCAATTAGAGAATATTTAGATGTATTCTGTCAAAAAAATTCGTGCAAATTCGCTAAAGGGTCTTGGTTAGCTAACAAGTTGTGAATAATAGTGGATTCTTTGTGGTTAATCTCTATCGCTTTATATTTTATAAACTTCATCGATTATGCTAAAATGTGGCACAGCTGACCACGTTTTAATGATTACAATCAAGATTTATTTTGAGAAATCCGAGGAGTTTCAACATTATTTCCACTCTTTTGCATCATTTTCCACAACATTTCCATGTTTCTTTCTGTTAAAATTGTTGGGAATTTTAAGCAACTAAGAGCATATCGAATGCAAATATTTATTCAGTCTAAACTGCAAAAAAAAGAACGAAATAATCTGATTGTGGAAAAATTTTGAACTTTTAGCAGAAAACTTTAATTTAAGTGAAATAAAACATGATATTCTCAATAAAAGAAATGAATATAAACTTTTAAATTGCACGCCTATAGGCTTGAACTGCATCATTTGCAACAATTTATATAACCGCCATGGCATGAATAATTTAATATTTAGCTGCCATCAGTTTTTTTGTAAGAAAATTATAGCTAGGTTAATCATTCAGTAACAATCGTTTATCTCGAAAACTCCGCATGAATTGCTGGAAGCTAATATTAACTATTTAAGAGCTTATTTAAGTGGCTAATGGATTATCTAAGCGATTAGTTTCGAATTAAATGAATAATTTTCTTACTTGCAAAGAAAGATTCGTCAAGGATTCCTCAGATATACTAGTATACTGGTCCTTAATAAAATGATGCCAGAAAAATGTTCCCATTATTTACTCCTATAGAATAGTCTCACAGTTACGGAATTTATCACATCATGGTAGATTTGATAAATTATTCCCACTACACAATGATCTTAACATATTTGCTAAGTAAAAATATTTTTTAAAAATGCAAAGCACTGCAAGAAAAATTCAAAAAAAGTGAGCACCCCCACCATTTTTTATTAATACTTATAAATTTCTTACACATATGAATTTCAGACTTTGTAAGGCGAAAATCTTGATTTCAATCTTCACACTAGGACAATAATTTGGAATCAGAAACTATCCTCATTAAAATTTACAAGTTTAAATTTCGTCCTAAGATATAACAGAGTTTATCACGTTACTTGTTATTCACCTAGATACATTCAATAATTTTATTGAAGAAATGAAGAAATCCTTTGGACATAGATCCACGTAATGCCATTATTTATGAGACAAAATTAGACAAATGAGGAATGACGAATAAATAAGATTCGATATTATACAAAACTGCGGTATGCACCACTATTTCAGCCTGAATCGCAATGAAATCCAATCGCTTAAAACCATAAAGGGAAATTTAAACTGAAAATTTGCCTTCGTCTCTTTTCGTTATTTATTATAAACTCAAGTGCAAGACTATATGCCCTACTTAACCTCTCTTTAAATGAAGAAAATAGTCTTAAAATTTTGAAATTGTATTTGAAACCGAAATTTTTGTTTTTTATCATCGAACTTCCATTCTTTTTGTTTTATATCAAAACAAAAATATGCCGCAAAGCTTTTGCGAGTCGTAATTTCCTTTGGATTATATTGGTTTCGCTTACTCATTCATAAAAACATGGAAAATTATCACGTTTAAATGAATACTATACGTAACTAGTATCAAAAGACCTTTAATTTGCAAAAACGATGAATATTTTATTAGGAATGCAGATCGGTTGTTCCAATTTATTTCCACAAAAAAGCAAAAAATAAATCAAAAAATGAGGTTGAAATTTGAAATTTGATATAGAAATACAACTTAGGTAATTTTATGTAGGATTACCAAAAACAACAGGATTAAAGTTAAATGGAGTAAATATAAAAAACATTTGGAAAAAATAAAATGACGTTTTGATTATACATCTGTTTGAAAAGAAAAGCAATTTTCATTAAAAAAACACCATGCTAAAACCTAAAAAATTCGAGCAGTTCATAAGCACATATTAAAAAATTTAAAAAAAACATCCAATAATAAAATAATCAAAAGCACCGAAAATATTTCCTTAAAAAGAAGCAATTTTATACCAGCGAAATCTGAAGATACATATCAAATATTATACGTATATGATGAAATTATAGGGAAAGCATATTAATAATGCAAACCATTTTTCTAACATTTTTCATGCATGGGCTGACATAATGAAGAAAAACATGTGAATGAATACATTTCATACATTAAAAAAGGAAAAATGGTAGAATTTTTTAAAAGTTGTATTGGAAAAAAATTAGATAAAACCAAGAAATCAAAAAACGAAAAAATGAAATTTACCATCAAAAAAAAAAAGAACTTTTTCATGTGCTACAGAATGAATATGTACATATATTTACAGATAATGCAAATCGTCATGGTAAAAAAAATGTTTTGAAAAATTCAAAAATGGTATAAAATTATTTCTTCAAGTGAGAGTTGTTCAAAATTATAGCCTTATAATACCAACACCAAGTAACCGAAATCAAGTTAACGCAACATTCTAGTTATATAACTTGTCGCTATATTCAACGTTGAACAAATAAGTCTTTTCTTGTAAGTTATTTTTCGCATTGAGGATATAAATTTTTACCTACAAAAATTTTTCTATTTGAAGAAAATGAAAATGACAAAAAAAGCCTTGATTCATTTAAGAGGAACATTTAATGAGACTCCTCAATTCCACAGTAGTTCGGGAACAGAAATGGTAATTTCTAAAAAAAATAAAGCTTATTTATTACAAAAATTTAAAAAACGGAAACTTCAAGAATTAAGTTTATTTGAAGATGTAAGAATACAGAATACAGGATTTAAAATCTATATACCACATGAAATTCATTAAAACTGCAACATCAAACTCAAAAAAATAATGAATAAATGGATACCTCAAGAGAAATTACTTGACTGAAAGACTGAAAAACAATAGGGATTTGTACAGTTTTTTCGGCGTCTATTGTTATCGGTGCAGAATCCACAGAAAGTATTTGAGGATTTGATGATACCAAATAGTACGTGCGCGATATATTGTAATCATTCGTTATCGCGATATTCTGAACAAATTACATTTGATATACCAATAAAAAATGTCTACTTTTTGTGCATATATTCTGCTTGCTTTTCAGATTGAAAATTTTCTTTAAAAATCTATCGCCACAAGGCTAATGGAATCTATTTTTTTTTCCTTCATTTTAAATAAATAAATAAAGGTACCTTTGTTTCAGTACAGTTGATTTCCAAGTGCACAATGAAGGTTTTATCAACTTTTGCAGGATCAATGCTAGCAACAACTATCCATTCGTTAAGCAATTTATTAGCAGCAACATCGACAACAGTTAATACAAACATACGCTCACCTAAAGACCTAATAAAGTTTTACTGTCGAATATGAAAAATTTATTGAAATAAGCAATGGTTACTAAACCACATTAATTTTCAAGCCAAAAATCCCATTAAATTCGAAAAAATAAAAGTTATGATAGAATTTATTCGTAACATTATATTAGTAACTTTCCTTTTTTCATCCATTCACTCGACTGCAGCGATTTAGGTAATAATGAATAATTTTTTTCCACTTTAGAAAAAATTGAAAATTAAAAGGAAATTGAAAGGAAATAAAAACCTGTGAAATCCGGAATAAACTGAGCTGTAACTTCCATTAAACCAACTGCTGAAGGTAGAAAAGGTTTGCTTGAATCGGACAAATTGATATTGGAAGAAGAGAAAATTTGGATCGGATGTTCCTTCGAATCCGTCCTGAAACATTTGCTAGAATAATAATAATATTTTAGCAACTATTAGAATTAGAATTCTGCATTCTGAATCCAAAATATGGTTTCATCTTGAGCGATTGTATTGTTATTCCGCTGTAATTATTTTTCGAAATATTTTTCTAGAATTTTCTACAAAGTTCGAACTACGAGCTAAGTCTTTCTTTGGTTTTTTCTTCTTTATCTCTTTATCAAAAAAATAAACAAAGAATTGACATATATTACAAATATATATATATATCATACTATGCTCATTGTGATACTATACTTTGGACCGATTTGTATACATTTTCAGTGCCGACAGGCGATGTCCATTATCCAGTCTATCGCATAGTTGAATATTATAAGGGAAAGACTTGACGGAAACCAGTTCTTATATATACATATAAAATTTATAATATTATAAAATAAACAATATAAAATATAAAATAAAACAATATAAAATAATTATGCCTATCCTTGACAGGAGTAAACCTGTCACGTCCGAGTGGGGTTGCTGGGGATTCACCAGTAACTCTTTCCCCAAGTAACTCTATAATGAAGGGTCAGATATTCTTGATACGGCGTCCACATCTCCCGATGCGCAGGACACTCCCAGCCCCGTGGCACATACGATAAGTACACAATCCAGGCTTAAAGCGATCCCAAGGCTGTTAAACAAAATGTGCTCGCAAGCCAGGGTAATTGCACGAAACCTATCAAGGGGAACAGCTCTCTGCACGCGCGGCGAGGTATTAGCAGTATCAGAGTGGAACGTCAGAACGCTTATGGACATTGCAAGCCAAGCAGTCACTGTCCACACCCTGTCTAAGTATCGTGTGGATATCGCTTGCTTATCGGAGGTCCATCTTCCTCACTTTGGGTCTCGAGCAATTATTAATCTTGGTTCAGAGCAGAGATACTGGCTATCATTGGCGTTTCAAATAACTCGGGACGAAATGGCGTAGCAATTGTCATGTCTGACAAAGCCCATTCCGCTTTGATTGAGTGGAAACAAGTAAGCGACCGTATGACCTATGCCCGTTTTAAGGGTTCTGCAATATCTCGAGTGTCTATGCTCCAACTGTGTCGGCAGACGACGGGAATAAAGATAAATTCTATGCGGAACTTCAGTTGCTAAGAAAGTCTTTACCGAAATATGACAAGGTCATAATCGAGGGAGACTTGAATGCGCACGTAGATCATAATGCCGCTGACCTCAGCAATTGGCGAATATGGCATCGGAAAGCTGTGCACCAATGGGGAACGCCTTCTTCGTTATGCCGAAAAGTATGAACTTTTTGTTACTAATACTTGCTTCCGCTATCGTAGAAAACGTCTAGTCACGTGGAACTCCCCGGACAACCAACACTTCAACCAGATTGATTATATCTTAATCAGTAGCAGTTGGAAGAGTTCCGTACTAGATAGTCATTCCTATCGCGGAGCTGAAATGAGCAATCTTCATGGATCTGACCATGTTATGGTTCCAGTCAAGATCCGCATAAAACTGACAACTCACAGAAAACAGCATCCCCCAAGATTCTTAAACTATCTTAAAAAATTCGGGGAGAGTGAACGCATTTCAAACCGAATTATTCAAGCATCTCAATGGTACAAATACCACTGATTTCGGAAGCAATTGTCCAACTGTCTGAAAAAGCTGCCAAAACGCGAATGTCAAGTGATCCCAACTACCGGAAGTTTGGAAAGTTTGCAACGAAAGTAGCAAGGGATGACAGAAATCACTATTGGAGCGGCATGGCCTTTAGAAAACTAATCCGCCTTCTTCATAAAGTAACTATGACTCGGAGAACGATCAATAAAACGGTAAGAGGCAGCAATGGCGTGCCGATCAAGAATATTAAAGACGGACTCATAAGATGAAAAGAATTCTTTGAGGCCAAATTCAACCGTGAAGCGCCATCTGTTACCCCTGATATAGTTGATACGTTGCCCAAACCATATGCAATTGTGAGCCTCCAACAGAAAAAATAATTTTTAAGGCCAATAAGACTTCGGGAGAATATGGTCTTCGGGCTGAGCTCTTCAAGTGTTGCCCATCGTCCTTCATAACGCACATTCAACACTCTCTGGTATGGAAAAAAGAAATATTACTACATGACTGGAGCAAAGCAATTCTGCTCCTAATTCTCAAGAAACGTGATAGGACAGGCCAAGACAATTATTGAAGAAAAAAGCTTACTAGATATTGCGAAAATTTTTGTTTCCCTGTTACTCAAAAGACTTATGACTTATGCAGGATACGCCCGAATCAAGCTGGATTCAGACCGGGGCGCGATTGTGCTGACCAGATATTCACGTTAAGAAGAATGTCGGAACATCGATTCAGATATTTGCAAACCACTGTCATATGTTTCATCCTTTGCGGCTGTATTTGATTAATTATAGAGCGGTGCTTTGGAGCGTGATGGAATGCAACGGTGTTCCAGAGAAGATCATTAGACTTATAAAGGGATTTTATGAGCGCATGTCGACGCAGGTATGTGTATATGTGTATATGAGGAACTGAGAGACTCCTTTGATAAGAAATAAGAACTAAGTCTGTGTCCATTCCCCTACAATATTCAACTGCGCGATAAACTGGATAATGGACACCTCAAGAGGTCCATATCAATCCAGAGCATCGTATAATAGATCTTGAATACGCTGGTGATGTAGTTCTTTTTGTTGACAGTTATCATGAAATACAAATAGTATTAAATAACATGTCAACAACTGCAGTGAGAATCGGACTCAGGATCAATATAAATAAAATGAAAACCTTCGTCTTGCACAGAAAATACAGATAAAATGCCTATTTTTATAAATTCATTGCCGGTTGAGGTGCCCGATAGTAACCTAGCTTGAATCACTCTAATACCGAATAGCCAACAAAACACGGAATTACAATCCGGACACTGGCAGTTAGAAATGTTCTTCCAGTTGACGAAATCCTTATGGAGCCGTTGTGAAATTACCATTAAAGCAAAAGTCGATATCTATATAGCCGTGATTCGTTCGATCTTGCTATATGGTTCTGAGCCATGGCCAATGAAAGTGGAGGATTTTAAAAAACTTTGACTTTGAGGTATATTTTACGGGTCCATTGAGCGGATAAAATATCACATGATCGAACTCACCTTCCTTCAAATACCACTTGCGTTAACAATGTTAACAGAGAGTGTCGCCTTCGCTGGTTAGGGCCACCACAGGAGTTGACGCATATTTCGTTACTTGCTAAACCGTATGATGGTTGGCGTCAAAAGCGAGGTGGACCAATCAAGACCTGGACTGACACGGTCAGAAAAGATTTTGAACGTACAGTTAGACCAGCAATATATGGACTTAGACGATAAAGGAATGGTTTTTATTAAAAGGAATGTTGACGATGGAATCAGACTGCGCCGCTTGGAAGCATGTACTCTTGTAGCCGTTGAAGCCAGCCTAACCAGTAATGATGAGAGCTGTTAGAAGAAGAAGAAGAAAAAATGATTCCAGCAGTAGAATTATGCGCTGATCCCAAAATTTAGAGGTCAGTAAGACGAAACCACTAATAAGTATTGACTTTAACTTTAAAAAAAGTTGCATATGAGCATAAATTCATTTAATTTACTTATCTGTATTTTTTTATAGATATTATAGATATTTTTATAGATATTTTATATTTATATTTTATATTTATTAAGAAGCCTAAGATAATCAGAATTTCAACCATCAGTTAATAAACTTCTGTGAGATGTTAAAAATATAAAATTATCCAAAAAAGAATATCTAACCGGAACGTTAGGAGAATTTTTGCAGACTGATCTTGTATACCACTTATGTTGAGTCGTATGACGGAATGTAAGTAGATTATCCATGTTCTTAATAGTTTAAAACAATATTTATCAGCATAGAGATAAATATAAAAACATCTTAACGAATTGGGTGAATCTGCGTGACACTAAAAAACAAAAGAATGACACCAAAATAATTTATACATTCTGATTACAATGATAGTGAAAAAACGATGAAAAATTTCATCTGCCATTTACCGTTAACTACGATAATTACTATATTTCCAATTATTCAATAGGTTTGAGAAAATATAAAAAATTGTAAACCATTCATCTAACTAATAATAGAACAATGAATTAATTTTAAAATCATATTTTCAGAAATACATACACTAAGCAAAATTTCTTGAGATCCATTCAAATTGTTTTCCACTGACAGCAAAACAGATGGATCCGAACATCGTAAACATTTAACGGGATAATCCCCTACAAATTTCTTTGAAAATAAATAATTCTTCACATCCAAGAGCTAAGGCCTTATTAACAGGAAATGATGGATACACATGCCTGATTATTAATTCAAAAAACAAATATAAATATTTGTAAAAGAATTGAAAAAAACTGGCATAAATCGTGATTTGCACAAATATTGAACGATAAATACTGGTAAGTGATGCACATAACAATTTTAAAAACCTGGCACACTATAAATGGGCATCAGTTGCAACATTTTTGCCTCTGCTTCATACAGAAATCGAAAGGATCGGTCGACGACGTTCATTCGCATCATGACTAGTAAATTAAGGATGGCAATCGGCTCCCCACTTTCTTTATTTTTAAATACAGCCTGAATTATTCCATGATGGATAAGCATTTTCAAATGTTATATTTTTTTGTGTGTAGAAAAACTAATTAATTGAAATAGTGATTTTTTCTCCCTTCTACATCAAAAAAAACTCCAGAAAGGAAATAGAATGAAAATTTTTACCTTGACTTGGTCCACCTTTTTTTCTTGCGTGGTACTAAGATGAAAAGTGTCATAAATAAATGGAACGTATACGGTTTCCATCGCATTCAACAAAATTTGTGTTTCGACAGTTCCATCATTATTTTTGATAACATGAATAAAATTCTTCTCAATAGGAGTAAGAATACCACTACTCCGTTTGAAAAAAAACCACGTATCGGGATCCAACACAAAACTGAAAATTTTAAATTGCAACATGAAAAAATATTTGGAGGGAAATAATCAGCATTATAGCCAATAAACTAAACATTAGTTAGTTACCATCGGTAGCTAAGAAAAATTAAATGTTCTTGCACAATCTGGCATGAATAAATGTTTCTACTTAGTTTTGACCAATAGAATACTGTGACTTATACTGAAATACTGATTCACAGAAAATAAAAAATAGCAATAATTTTTGTAGTGGATCAAGAAAAATCAAGGAACAAGAAAAATGGGCTATGGTACTTTGATCTCCACAGCTCTGTGACTCATTTCCCTTAGCATTTTAAAAAACAAGAAGATCGAAATAATATATTATATCTAAACCTCAACCACGGATCGGTTGTTTCAACAACAGCAATTGTTGGTTCATGGCAATTGTTGTGAAGACAAAATTCGAAAAATACGACTTCTCCAAAACTTGGATATATTCTTAAATAAAAGTTATTATTGTGGTAATCCAATTCAATAATGACGATTCAGGGAATTGTACTCCTCGAAAATTTAACTGACCATCCTTACAAATATGGTACTGTAATGGATAAATTAAAAGTACGAATAGAAGCATTGGGAGTTTCCTCTAGCGCCTTAAATACGACTTTATACTAACAAGACTAAGAAAAAGACTAAGAATGAACCTAAATGCTGAGAAAATTACATTTTTAACAAGTGTAAATGAAAATAGAAACGAATTCTTCTTAACAGAATTAATAAATTGTAATCAACCTGTATTCGGTCGTGATTGCTTGAAAAACAGCTTTTAATAACTTGGCTGCCTTGCTTTCTTTTCGCAGCTTTTTATAAGCTTCAAGTTCTTGATGGAACATGTAATTTCGGAAAGAACACTGAAAAAATTATCAAGAAGTGCACGAATATATGAAATCAGCTCAACTTTTCCTAAAATAAGAATAAGGATCCCTTTCTTTTTTCCTAACATCGTTAAAACAAATGGAAGAAAAATAGTTGACTATCTACAGTTATATTGGACAGATCTAAAACTTCATATAAATCTTTCTTTTTTTATACTTGAAATTACCTAGTTGAAAAATAAAGAAAAATATTATAAATAGAATAGAATATATAGAATAAATTTTCTAAATTCTAACCCTTTTAATCGAACTGTTCGATTGTTTATCATTTTGTTGTGATATTTCCTTATTATTATTGTTGAAAAGCTCATCATAACGCTTTTGCAATTCAGCTCTAAAATTAACAAAAATCTAAGATCTTGATGAATGCAGAAAGCGATTATTTAATGATTATGATTATTTATAATACTTCCAGAAACTATCTCTGAAGTATCAAAAGTAATTATAATGAAAGCATAAAAAAGTAATTTTCACATAAAATTACTTTTGCACACTCATAAATCCTTCGATTGCTGTATCACGTATTGTATTAAGCGGTTTCGCTCGAATTTTATAAGAATCTGTTTCATTTCGATGAACATATTTAAAACGTTGATCAATTATTGCAGAATTTCGATTACATATAGAGTCTGAAAAACCTGCTCTATTTAATGGAACCTTTCAACTAGACAATAAATAGTAACCTTGATGCTACTTCAAATATATTTAGAATTTGGGAGTATAATTTTTTTAAAATGAGATAACAAATAAAGATTATAAATTGCCCTACTAAATGAATGAAATAAAGGTAAAAAATTCAACCAAATAAATTTCATTAATACTCATAAAATAAAATATTTAAGAAAATTTGAATAAATTTATAGAACTTAAGAAAATTAGTGGAATAACTTGCTAAAAATGCAAGAAATAAAACAAATAAAACAAAAAATTGATAAAACTGATGGTGCCACTTTATTTATTATCACTTCACTACTTAAATCTTATTTTAATTTTCCACCATTTACCCTGGTGCTATCGGATAAAGAGCATTAAAATTTGGAGTATCAGTCATTTTACAACCAATTGCAAAATTTCATTGAGCAATTTTTAAACAACATTTTTTTATCATTTTTGTATTCGGTAAAGAAAAACCAAAAATGATTTTGAGGAGAATTCGTTTCACCCGGTGTCGTTCACTTTTCATCACTTTTGAAGTATAAATTTCTATTAATTTTTCATAAAAATCAAAAATTTTTTTGAAATTTTAGAGTGAAAAATAATGCGCTTTCGTGGACTACATGAATCCTTCTCAGAATGTATGGCAATAAAATAATTATTTTAGAATTTGGATAATGATAAATGGTATTTTCTGAATGCCAAAAAATATCGAAGCAAAAGAAAGAATTTTGGGAAAAAAACTATCGAACATCAATACCTACTCCACCAACATAGTCTACTTTATAGCGCTTGAAATAGAGATATTAAGAAATAAGAAAGACTTACTCATATCATTTGTGGACGGATGACCGATATTGGCTAACCTTAACAGCAATAACAAATTCGTTTCTGCAGCACCAGATAATATATGCGAGGATATAGACGCTTGAATATTTGCTTGAACTGCTTCCCTACCTTGTCGCAGCAAACACTTCAATAATATTATAAAAATTCTCTTAGACCACTAATCATTATTAGTTAAAAATTCTAAGGCTCTCAGTCCCACTAAATATGTTTTAATATTATTAATATTGATATTAAAATCATATTTTCCATTATTAAACTGATAATATAAATATGTTAACTTGAAATTCACAGACAATTATGCTTTTCTATCTATCGCAAACTACTGCAAGAAGTAAAAAATTGCACCTTTACTGGTATATATACCTGACCAATAGGTATCAGCGATTCACCATCCCATACTTCGATTATTAATCGACCGTTGAGCAGATAAAGAACAAAATCATTTATATCGCCAGTTAAATAATTTAAACCAACTGTTAATTTCACCTGAAGTTGCAAGCATGATAACTTCGGAAAAAAAGAAAAATTTAAGATTACATTGAATTCTCCTCTTATCAGTGCGCTATAAACATTAAACAAAAGAAAATAAACACGGCTCGAAGATTATAAAAGACGCAAAAAAAGGAGGGCTTACAAGCTTAAAATCAGTAAAAAAATTTTCTATAGAAATAAAGTAAATAGATAAATAAATTACATTGGAGATCTATATGTTACTCACTTTTACGCATTCTTAACGAATAAAAAAATGAGAAATATTATTTTAAAACGTTTACTGTAAACCCATTTCGATTCTGACTATTGATATCACCTTTATTATGCATCCTTTTCAGAATAAAAGGATAATTTTTGGAATCGATTTTTGGACGATCTACAAAAAGTCTGAAAATAGACAATTAAATGACAATGGATGATGGATATTTGGCAACAATTAGAAAATGATAGGTGCTGTTGGAAATAATAAAAAACTATTGGCTTTAATTAATTAATTAATTTACAAGGAATTATTAAAATAAAACTTTATTTAGAGCACTTACTTCTCTGTGGTTATCATATCAAATCGATAAAAATGGAATGTAAAAAATACATATTGCGGCATATTAGATCGAAATGTAGAAGTGGAACTGAAGAAATTACAAAAATTATGCAAATTGTACCCCCAATATATTACGATACAGTAATATAACACTACCTACTTATTTTTTAAATTTCTTTTAAATTTCAACCACAAATTTCTTTTAAAAACTCCCATAATAAATATCCACGGTTTCTCTTGTTTTTAAGAGAATAAAACGGGTAACTGAATAACAAACCTTTCAGCTAAACCAAGGAATTGTATGATTATTTCATTGATGTTTAAAACATCATTCAATTCGATATCAACATTCGCTGGCTAAAATGATTGAATGCATAATAAAAAGTTTCTTGCTGGATGCCAATAAAATACCATTACTGCCAATATTATAGAATAACAAAAACAAATGGATGTTACCGTAAGATTTGTCGTATCAACAAAAGGTGGTTTGTCTTCATTACGATCTATGATTGGCGAGAACGACATTTGTAAAATTGGTGCCCATACAGCTCTCGATAAGCTAGTTGCATAAATTATATCAATTTATCAATAGGATTAAGTTCTTACCAAAGCGTAAGCAAAAAATTAATTTTAAAATATTCGCAATTTGAAAATATGGCAATATTTGAACTTAAAATTTTATTGACGAAACAACTGTAAAAATCCCTTAAATGCTACCTAAATTCAGGCATGTTGATCTCACAGCGATGAATTCGATGAACATTATCATTCTGCTTGATCCACCTTTCAGTATGTTCATTTTTCGGCGACACAGAGCATTGAGGAACTGGTTCAATCTTTAAAACATGCTTTGATTAAAATTTAAGAAACAGAATAACCTAAGATGGAGTATACTGAAGTGAAAAATATTAAAATATGCATATTTTCCATTTTATCGAAAAAAATTTTATAGCTTTACTTTTTTCTTGAACAATAGGGATTTATTTTCATCTTTTAACTATGAACTGCAACATTATCTCCTTTTATTTTGGGTCACTCGAAAGAATACAATATTATTAAACATATTTTTTTCACTCCAAAATTCGGCATTATATCTCTCATGATATTAAAAAAAAATGCTAGAAAAATTGACCTGCTTTTCGTTCATTGTGCTGATGTTCCTGTAATAAAACTTTTTGGTAATAAATCTCAAACTTATATTTCAATTTAAACGTATAATCGGAGATAGAATGATTGAACAGACTACTGCGCTCAATCAGGAAAGCCGATGTTCAAGTTCTATTGTCAGCTGGAGTAAACTTATCTTTCAAAAATCTATGTGGTTCACTTATACTTCTATCGCTAAATGAATCCCTGATGAAATTTATCTGATCTGACGAGTCAATGAGAAAAGCATAACCAGAAATGAAATAAAAAGAAGTAAAAAACATATGATACTGATATGAAATAAAAAGAAGTGAACATATGATACTAATATGCGATGATATTAAAAAGAAACGCAATGAAAAATTCAAACAGAAATTTCATAATTTCAGCACCAGTAATTTCGACAAACGGACAAAATCTCACATGGCTACATCCATTTTACTACCTGTTTTAACAATATCATGGCAGAGAGTCGTTAGTTAGTTGGTCATGTTTTTTATCTCTCACTACAGGAGTTAAAACATATCTCGTTATTTGCCAAATTCTAGGATGGATGGCGTTAAAAGCGAGGAGGGTTAATCTTGAATTACTGTCAGGAATACATCAAATCGAATAGCTTGGAAATGTCTTATCTTTCTCGCCAGCGGAACCAGCCTAACCAGTAATGGTGAAAATTGTTAGAAGTCACTCATTATACTTTTCCATTCAATTGTTTCTTTATTATTTTTATGAATCAAAAAATAGAAAAACCCTATGTTTTCTTCAACTTTCTTTTTTGAAGCAACTGAGATCATTTCTTGGGTGCTCAGCGGAATAAATTCAGGTTTTGAGATTTTAAGAAGTGAAGAAGTTTTCTGGACTTGATGATGATTCATGTTCGCAATTAAGTCAATTGACGATGCCGACTATAAATTTTTATCATAATATTTTTATAGGTTAATCACTCTATGTAATTTGAATCATTTTTTTCATATCTAAAAAAACTTACTCGATTAGGCTTGGAAAACATAAACTGAATTTGAATTCGGGTTTCTGTTTGCTGGAATAAAACGTTCTGGCCGTTTATTCTGCTGGAGAATAACAAATTTTTGAAGCAAAGAGTTTCATCTGGATTCAGTCGTGGGCCTTAAAAATAAATTTAATGCAAATATGTTTAATAAAAAGGCAGCATAGCCAAATTCGTTTCATAGAATCAGTCGTGAAAATATATTTCTAATATTGCAGTTTTGCAGTTGCAGTTGCAGTAACAATTTTTTATAATATTTCTGTCATATTTTTAAAATAATGACAGAAGTTTAAGGAACAACTTTGATTCATCAGCTCTGAGTACATTTTTCAATTTCATAATGCCAAAATGTTTATAAAATAAAAAAAATGATACCTCGATATAAAAAATATTAACCCTTCATAACCTTAATAGCATTTGAAAAAGACAACATTACCTCCAGCAAGTGGAACAGAGATCCGCTGATCCGAATAACCGGCAAAAAATGGACACCAAGCTGCCCATGCTAAAATCACTGATTGCGATGCAGTAATAGTACCCTAAATTGATTAATTTAATTTTCGGGTATTTTTAAAGAGAAAACCAGGAAATAATCACCTAACAAAAAGAAACTTGATGAAGAAAATCTGAAAAATTTACGTCATTAGCCTTAACACCGATAAGATAATCCAACCCAAAGATTACTGCAACACATGGATGATTTACTAATTTCATTAAAGATACATCATTCTGGGCAAATAGCGAGTTAATTTCCAATCTGGAATTTACAATTAATGCAGGACATTACTGCCTTAGATAAATAAATAAATCATTGAGCTATATCTCAAATATGCATTTATGGGTTGTATTTATAAAAGAATATAATTATTTACAATTCTAGCGACAAAGTACCAAATATGAACAAATTTTAGTAGTTGATTTACAGTAATTTGATCATATTGACGATATGACCAGTCTTGCTTAACAACAGGGAGAAATGAATCAAAAAATAAGGTGAACGGCAATTTGTTATAAATTTACAAATACCTATTTTTTAGACAGCTTTGAGATAGATCTCTTCGCCTTAAGCTGTGGCTGCCAGAGATCTGTTTATCGGTGAATAAAAGATGTATGCACTGAGGCTCATCAATATATGAGAAACCATTGTGTATACCAATCTAAATTAAAAAAAGAAAATAATTACTGGTTCGCAAAATTTTCAAATTAGTCACAACATAACAAGAACATAAAAAAAATGCTGAAGAAAATTCTGAATCAAACTTGACTCATGGATTCCAATTCACAACGACAATGAAAAAAACGGCCGAAATATAGAGAAAGGATAAAATGCAACTCTAAGTCGCCTCTCCAGAATATGCATTTGCTGAACATCGTTATCGTTGGGTGACTTGTTAATACGATATAATCTATCAGTATTCACCAATTCCATAAATATTTCCTCGAACTTAGCGAGATGAGGACCAAATGAAACCACCACATCAAAAAGCAAATATTTCTGATAAGAATCAATTTGAGGATTCATAAGTTGCATACCTCAAATGCATCAAAAGTTATCTTAAAATAGTAAATGATTTGTGGAAGCCAATAACACAATAAACAATGGCAAAGAATTATAAATTCAATAGCAATAAAATGCTGCGGACCTTAACGAATAATTAACATTACCTCAAAAATAAATGAAAATGAAATCAACTAAATGGCTTAAAACCATAAATCATATCAATATTATCAAATATATCAATATGTCTTATATTAAAAAATAGGATATTAGAAATTCGACTTCTATATCGACTTCTTATGTTGATTTATATTCCAATAAATTGTTACCATATTACATTTCAACTTTGGCAAATAATAACGCCTATCTAATCTATATGTTCATTATTTTCCTACACTGACATGTTGACTTGACTAGAAGGAACAGACATCGTCATTATAATTCTTAATGTATAATTTCAATTTAAAAAATAGATGCAATAAGGAAATGAGGATAAAATGAAGTCCTACTGGCCTTGATATTTTGGTGAAAAAATTTTTTTTAAAAAATGAGGAAAAAAGATGAAAAATCAGACCTCCATTATCTTTTGGTGAACTCTTAAGTCCAGGTATAATTTCATTAGCACCAACTATATTAAATTCAGGAAAAAAGTCAATGATATTCAACATTTTCGCGTGCGTCTGCAGGCATAATTCGATTGTGCCACCAATTTTGCGTAATTGCTGTGCGATATCATTAGCATTTTCGATAAAAATAAGTTGTTTTGGAGATCCACCATAAAGATGATACCTGGAAGTAAAATAGCTTTTTTCCATTTTATCCAAAACCTATACACTCTAGAAAATTTAATATTATACACTGTAAAGAAAAGGATGATCGAATGATCGAATGATGTACGGAGTTCTTGAGAAAAACAGCTTTTACAACGTAAAAAACGGGGAAACAGTCAAAGTGACAGTAGATAGAAATAACCAATAATAGGAGGTGAAAACTTTAACAATTCTGACCTCCACTCGCTGCAGAAAAAAGATATTCGTCAAAAAATAATATTTAAAAATCTTATTTCTTCGGCTAACCCAGAAAAAAACAGCTCGAGCTCACTTATTAAAAATATCATCGGTTTGACCATTCATTCCCCCTTCGTTTATTCCGTGATGATTTCAATTTTCTGTTATCTGTACTTGTATTCTTGTTATAAGAAATTTTTCCTCAAGAATTCCACACATAAAAAAAATTGACTTAAGAATACAATTGCATCGGACATTTTCTCTTTTTTTCCAATCTATGACATTTATGATAATTAATTTTAGCATAAAAATAAGTATAAATAAAAGTAACCTCGATATATACATATCAATATCTTTAAATCTGAAATTAATGGTAGGTTTACCAACAATATAGATTGGTGAAGCTGACCAAGCTTTTGTAAAATAATCACTCCAATTATTCTTACCGTATAAGCAAATGTTTTCAACAAGTTCGATTATCAGAACTATTGATTCATCTTTTATTGGGCAGTGAAAAAATATTGTCTAAAATTAGGAAAGTGCAATAAAATAATAATAAAATGCTAAAACTAGACGCAATGCTGACCTCCACATTAACATTATAAGAAACAATAGATGAGGACAGAACGAGAAGTGGAGAAGTAGATGATGGAAAAAAAGGAATTGGAAAGTATAAAAAGTGGAAGAAGGTGTGTTAAACAATTTAAAATAATTTTGGATATATCCAGGTTTGAAAACAAATGTGCCAGTCTTTGTACAAGGCTTAATCGTTATTAATTATCAGTTATATGATAACATTTTTTTTATTGACAATTCATCGAAAAAATGTACCTCATTTATCGATAAAGTTTCATTTTCCGGCCGTTTCCATTTGGTGTAATATGGCCTACCAAAAAATATTTTCGCTCTCTTGTCATAGAAATAAAAATGGAGACGATAATCTACATCGATTTTAAGCTGCAATTTTGAATAGCAACAATGATGAGGTAGTACAAACCTTAGTAACATATTCAAATCCTTTATAAAGCAGTCTTCTAATCTCACGTATCCAGAGATATTTCAGCATTAAGAAAAGTAAAATAATGACAGGCTAATTTAAAATAACTAATTTATAACTAATTTAAAAAAACTAAGCTTAAGCATTAATTTAATTAAAATCTAAGCTTAAACTCAGCAATAGTGAGGCGTGCAATCTATAAATCCACAAAATTCGGCCGATTTACGCAACCAGTAAAGAAAAAACTGTTTAATTGAGTAAATAAGGGTGTAAAAAAACCTATAAAGAGGGTGGGGTTTGAGGATGCACGAACAATGTATACGGTTTAACGAGAACGTCGCTATGAATTGTTTTAGCCTTCGGGCTGAAGCTAATCGTGAGTAAAGTCCACAAATTCTATATTATAATTTTATGATACTTAAATTATAAAAAACATTTTTAAAGTTGTCTTTGACCTTCAGATATGATGCTTTGTTATTAATATGTTTCTATTTATTTACTTACTGTATAATTTTATTTTACCAGTATTAGGTGTGAGCAACTGGTGAGGAAATCGCAAAGACGACCATTGTATTTATTCTGTATTCTCAGTCATTGTTGAATAAGCATTATAGTAAATACATGGTTAATACTGAATAACTATTGATGCAACAGTATTATTGAAATATTTTTTCAAGAAAGTTAATAATCAGCACATTAACTTTGTTTTTATTCCAGCATCACTCCAAACAAAAGCCGTGGGAATATTCGTTTGATCAGCCAGCTGATTTGCAGTTTCCATAATATTCATCCAAAATTTATTTTCTCATTTTCTAGCAAATTAATTCTGTTTCTCTTCATTTCTTTTGAATTACTGCAGACTTTGCCGGACACATACCAAGAAAAACAATGAGGTTTGGCAGGGTATCAAAGAAGAAATAATTCGATGTAAATGAAGTAAGTTTCAGAGGCTGAAATGATATACAAGGAGGTAAAAAAGGGTTTGAGAAGTTTCGAAGGAATATAATAGGATTTAAGTGGGTGCTAAGAAAGTATAGCCAGATTTGAGAAGGTACTGGACAATAAAACGGGCATATTGAGAGTATTGTTAATCTGAATTGAAAGGACGAAAAAGGAATATAACAAGGATTATGATATTTTTGGACCTCATTTCTCTCGGGAGATAGATCGTCAAACTAAAAGTGCCGAAAAAGAAAAAATGCAGAAAGGTGAGAAAAAAAGAAGGGGAAGGAAAAGAGAAAAAATGAGAAATGAGATCATCAATCTTTAAAATGCGTTCACATTTGGCAGACTGTAGGGAATGTAATATCATTTCTCAAAAGTCACTTGAAGAAATGAGTGCTCAGCGTTACATCTCATTTCACATCTCATTTTTAATGGCAACTTTAGTCACATCAAAGGGGAACGATCAACGGTTCCTAAACTTGTCGTAGCCGAATGAACATACCACTCGGTCTTGTCTTACCTCCTGATATCTGATATCGGGCTAGGCCATAGCCAACTACTTAATCACTTCTATTAGGTTTTCTTTTATTAATGCCATTACACAAGACAATACTTACAATACTTGCAATACTTATCCTTCGTTTTTTACTGCCAGCAATGAGAAAGTTTCATTTCTTATTTGCTAAAAATTTACTACAAATAAGGTTTTATCTTACATGATTATAATTAATCGAACGAATGGATAGTGCATAACATATCGTTGGTTCCAACGGATCAAAATTTATTGCCTTACTAGCAGCAATAGCTCGATTTACTTGAAAATATTCATACCACTGCTTCGATGTAGCCATTTGATGAATTTATCTAAAAAATATGAACAGAAAACTGAAATCCTTGAAAATTTTGATTTTGTGAATATTTAACCAGAAATGATGAGCGTTTTAAAAAAAAAAGTTATGTCGGCTGGGCTAAATGGTTCGGGAAGCGTTGACTGATCCAGAGTAATAGAAAAAAGATACTTCTAATATTAAATAAAGTTTTCGTGCTGTCGTAGTGGCTGCTTGTTTGTAGTTTTTATAGTTCACATGTGGTGTATGGGCCTTAATCAAGCCAATAAACAAGTCAAATCATTGATTTGATGAACAAGAGACCGATCTATGAAAGTAATTAGCTAGTTGAAAGGTCGAATAAATGAGAGGTAGGCAGAGAGTATCGCCAAATTTGATATCTTCCTTTTAATTTTAACTTCAGCTAACTCAGCCCAACTCTTTTGCCAAAAGTATGACAGTGGTTGAAGATCGCAGCGATGTTAAACCCACTAATAACTTCTTGAACTTTCTGTTAAATCCGCCAGATTTCCCCGATTTCATCTGTCAGCTCCACTCAAATTCACCTCTCTCCTATTAAGCCTACCTTGCTCTTCAATCACAATCTCAATCACTCGACAACACTCCCTTAGAGTCAATTTTATTACGTTAAATAACCATTTCGTATGCCCCCAAACCCCGTTATACTTAAAATGCATACTATAATACATGAAATATGAGCAAGTTAAGATTCAATTTCTTATATTTTTAATAAAATAAAATATAAAATATTGTATTTTTCTTTTCCCCTTAGTTAAGCATTTTTCGTTACCACTTTGTAAATTCAATTATATCGACTTAAAATTGTATTCATATTTCAGCTGTAATGCTGAATCTTTCAGTATTTTTTTCCAGTCTTTGATATTTTTTTTTACAAATCGTACCATTACTGATTAGGCTGGCATGGATAGCTAAAAGGGTGAGGGGTTTTCTAGCTCTTCAATTTGATATCATATATATTCATACCTGAAAGTAACAGAAACCACTCCCTTTCAACCGTTTAAGCCCACATATCACTTGGCCATATATGGATTTAAAAAAAAAGAATGCAAAAAGTCAGGCTAAGTTTTGACTGGTTTTTATTTATGCATTATGGAAGCTTAGCAAATAATGAGACATTTGCTGGATGAAAAAACATTGTTCTATAGCCAGATAGACACTGATTTTTGTTATGATGCTGGTTTGGCGATGAATCCACAAAGATTTCAGTGTGGCAGAAAATATTTTTAGTTGCAGCTAGTCGACTGAAATCTCATCTTTCGCTTGGACATTTGATCTAAGAATGGATCCAAAATACTGAAAATCTGCCAGTTGAATTGGTGATGAAGTGATGAAAACAGATATCTTATCGTCTGATATATGTTTCCGTCTTCTTTGATGTGATCATTACGATTTATGATTTTGTTCATACATGGTTTAACGTCGTTTAACGTTCTAATCCATTACAATATTAGCAAAAAGGATTATTCAGTCATAACCGTCAGTGTATTCATGATCTGCAATATTACGTTCCTAAATGACCTGCAAATTTCTTGATTGTCTATGAACAGTATCCATAAACCGGTCTATGGCATAATTGAATGGTAAAAAACGGTATGCACTGGCTTGTACCGATTATTTTCTAGAGGGAGGGTAAAGATTTTTCTAGAGGTGTAAGCACTGATCCCTAGTTATTCCAGCACGTCCTATCAACTTTGAAAGTGGGAAGAAGACCGTTTTTCTGCAGTGGTACGATATTACTAATATTTCCTTTACCAATAAATACATTTAGTGAAAATGAACGGAGAACTCAGGACAGCTTTTGAAGAATTCAGGCCGGAAAAATTACTTTTCTAACAGTTTTATTGGCCCGAAGCTTCCGAATAATAGAAATTATTTATTGCTATGCTGGTTGGCATGTAAATTGTAATCATACGGCTTGAACAGAATTTTAGCTGACCAGCTGCTGTTGATGGGTAGTACGTCATGGTTATGTTTTCTCTCCATCGAGACAAGTGATCTTTGTAATTCCTAACTGGCACTTCATCTCTAATCCCGGATCATTTCGCTGATCTCCAAATCATGGCTATTTTAGGAAGAGGAGACAATTTTCGACTATCGTTAACTCAAGCACATACCTCCATATTCAGGAACACACCTCTCCAATACCAACTTTGTCGTGTCATTCTTGCATGTCATTCTTGCATACTTTCGAAGCGGATTTATCTCACCAGCCATTCCAAAGACTCTTCTTAAGATCACTGGGATGTTTTGGTGATATACGTGCTTTGAAATATCTCTACTGTCCCCGAATTTTTCAGCTTGAGACTGATCGAAAGATTCTGGAGTGTAATATACTTTTTTAAATAGCCCTCACTATTATTGCTTAGGCTGGCTCCGCTCGCTGTAATGGACTAAAATATGCGCTCTCTTCCTCTCTTTATTTCATATTATATTTGCCATATTTAAGTATGATAATTACATAAGACAGCAAATATTCGTTAAATTATGTAGAATATGTTAGTATTAAATAAATAGCGAATCTGCATTTGCCAGATGTTTTATATCATTGAATAATCGAAATTACACCCTCAGCGCTCGCGTGATAACCTGCTTCAGTATTATAAATTGTATTATATCTCACATTTCGCATGAAAGTAAGAAATGACGATAAATGACAGTGTCTGTGGACGTAATATGAATGGAATGTAATACTTCCTTTCTCTCCCAGTAACGCTCACTACTTTCTACTATCTATGGTTTTTGCCAGTTCCACGAATTACTGAGAATAAAACAGCAGAGTATCATCGCTTTGGGAAAATAAGCACGAATAGTCGCACCTGGCGAAACGACACTCTAACTAAACCACCGTGTTATATATTCGAAAATAAGGATATTCGGAAAAAAATAAGGAAAAACGAAGATAAATTATTAACCAAGAAAATCGAAAGTTTGCTTTGCCATGGAAACCATTCCCGTTTCAAATTAGCGCCATTTTTCGTTCGTTTTAAGACCGCTTTTTCTTATATCACATAAATTCATTTTGTATTGATTGAACTATATCAAATTAATGACGGTTGGCTTTGGCGGGAGGTTTTTTTGGGCGTGGTGGGTAGGTTTCAAGGGGTTGTTGGAGAAGAGTTGTTTGGTTTGTTTGGGACGGTGAGTGTCTGAAATTGAGAGATTGAGGTCAATATCAGTGAAATAATTTTAAAAGATAACTATGTTGTGAAGGTTAGGGTCAGGTTGAAGTTGAAAGTGGAAAATTTGATTTAAAAAAAGGCAGATTTATTTTCTCTTAAGTAAGAACATTAGCCAATGAAAGAGTTACTGAAAAAGTAGTTTTCAAAAAAAATAATATATGAAAGTCGATTGTATTTTTCACTATGTTCTTAACTAAATTGAATTTTCATGTATTTTTTTGTTTTTTTTCGTTGTCGGCTAGTCAGAGAGAGATTTAAGAGATTCATCATCAATATTGTTTAAAAAAAACCACGAATCTCCGTGAACTTCAAAAAACATACGCGGTTTATACGTGTTGTTCTTTTTACGCGAGATTCTTTTGTAAGTAGAATGAAACTTATTTAAAGAATTTACCATTTCATTTATTGTCTACTCAGAAATTGGTTATTTAAATTATTTTGAGCAAATAATAATACCATCCTATTTTAGGTGCCATGAATTCAAATATTCCAGTTAATGATGCAAAACTTTACCGTTCTGTGGAAGAAAGAAGCTACCATAAAGGTCTTCGTTTATTGAAAAAATTGTATTCACAGGATAGTATGAACGTATCGTTGCCAGAAAATGCAAGTGATTTCATTAAGCCGAGTAGTTTCGGCCTTCGAAGGTTCATATATTATTTTCTTGCGAAGTTTTTAAAGAAATGTTTTATTTGTTATTTTCTTTTTTTCAGGTCGTATAAATCAATAAATATTTCTGCAGACAAGTGGTTACTTTCAATGGATGAAAAATCTGTTGCGAAATTAGATAATCCACCTTCACTTACTGACGGTTTGGATAAGAAAACAGAACAAGTAAATTATAATGCTTTATTCTGAAATTAGGCAGAAATGGTTTTTTATTTATCCAGATTTTTATTAAAGGATTTACGATATTTGGGTTGCGAAATTATCCAGTCTGGTGCAATTTTGTTGCGCATTCCACAGGTTGCTGCAGCTACCGCTCAGATTCTTTTTCAGCGTTTTTATTACCAGCGTTCATTTGTCCGGCATCATTTTGAGGTTTATTTTTATTGATCAATAAGCCAGTAATTGATAGTAGTTTAATATCTCGATGTTTGCAAATATCAGATTTTTAGGATCATATTAAAATTTTTTTTATAAAATTTTCTTGCATTTTTTTCATATGCTTTTATATTTTCGAAAAAAAATAGTGAATTTTAAACCGTAACCTTAGTTATTTTATTTATTATATTTAGTTCACGGTTATGGCATGTCTTCTATTAGCAAGCAAAATCGAAGAAGCTCCTCGAAGACCTCGAGAAGTCATAAACGTGTTTCATCGACTGGAGCATTGGCATGGGAAAAAAAATGAATCTAAAAAGTAAGCTAAAGTTTTCTTTGTTAATATTTGATTATTAATATCTAGATGAATAAGATGATAATTTAAAATAATTTTGTCTTTGTTTGGTTATCATGAGATTTCACTTCTATGTAGCATTTTGCATAAGGCTTCAAGTAGTGGTGGAGTAGAAACTTAAAACTTAATTTTCGTTGTTGCTGATTTAAGTTAGCGTTTCTTGTCCTTGGCTTATCTTTGGATTAAAATGTTTTATACTTCAGTGGGATTTTTTTACTGGCAATAGGTCTTTCGTTTCACATGAATTTCCTGTAATTAATTTCAATAATTATTCAATCTTGCCCTCAAACGGAACAAATTAGTGCGCAGTGTTGGTGTTTTAAACAAAAATGATTTTGTAATTCCGCAGTATTATTCAGTCATTGATATGGTTATGGTCGCCAGTTGGGTTAGTAGGATTGCAATTTCGATATAGATTAATTACTATTTGGATTACAATAAAGAACGAGATATATTTTTTATAATATAGTAGATGTATAGTTCTGAAGGATAATAGTTTTAGTGTAATTTGATGGGTTTATATTTTTAAAGATATTGTAATTTGAGAAATTACGATGAGTTAGAGTATGTCATTCTTGAAGGCCTGGTGTTTTTCGATTACCATAATCCTCTATTCAGTGTTTGTTTTTGTTCTGAATCCTATATCTGCGTTAAACTATTGGCGTTTACTGAGGTAGTCACAACGCAAAATGGATGAAAAACCAAATAAACAGACATGGTGTATCATATCTTCAGCGAGGGCTTTTTATTTTTTTTTATGACGCCAAAGATAGATTTGGGTCTCCGTTTAATATTTAATATGAATTCATTTTTTTGTGTGAATGTGTTTATAAATTTAAAGCGAAATTATATGAAATTTATAACATTTAAAGGGGTATTTGCGAGAATCATAGGTACTGTGATGTTTTTTGGCAGTGCATTTATTATTACATTTGTTTGAAATTGTTTTAAAAATTTATTAATTTTCTTGACCTAAGATATGGAGTCTCTTTTATGGACAGTTTTTGATTTAGAAAAAATTTGGCTTGGAAATAATGTACAGATTTATATTTTAATTTCCTACAGGTGACAGAAACACACACACACACACACAATTGGCAGAGCAGAAGCACGTGTGGCTAGTGTTGTGCTCCACTCTTCTGTTCAATTACCCAATGACTGCCGTCACATGTCTCAGCGGATTTCGGCTTTCTCAACGGATTCGCTTGTTTTGTATTTATTTCTAGCTATTAGCCTAAACCCTTAGACAACGATAAACTACCGTCCTCTTTTCATTCGGAAAATAATCCATCAGTGAGATATATTTCAGTATACCACCTTGGATCTCTGCTTCAGTAAGCCACAACAGATTTGGTTTGTCGCTTGAAATTTTTGTATTCATCTTCTAAAGTTTGGAGTAAATATTATTTAACCATAGTATTATGATAAAATTAGTATTGAATTACGGTGCGCATTTTGAATTGCCCATATTTAGCTCTATATTTTAGTATATGGGTATTTTTGCGAAATCGGGTGGTGGAACGAATGGACCATTGCGTTCTTGATGTAAAGCTTGGCAAATTTAAAGTTAGTTACTACATGGAACACCTTTATAGTGTATGAAATCCAAGTACGAGCATGAAACAAGCACATATTTTTTTCCTTCTATCTTTCACATAAACTAAATTTTAACCCATACAAAGTGGATTTTTGATTGATGTCACAGAAAATATTTTTTAGCATTTTACTGGATAGGGTAGATTTTCTCTGTTCTATTTTGATGATATGCCCATTATTAACTGGTTCTATTTTAAAATTTTAATTCTTTTCATTAATATTAGTGAAGTTTCATTAAGTAATAAGTTGTTTTCATTCTCACTGGAAAAGAAAATTTTTGCTTTAGTGGTGTTCCCTGTTCCTTTATCCATATTTGGTAGGAATACAATTGCGAGGTGTAATTTTTTAAAAAATTTTCACGAATTTAATCTGATGGGTCCAAAAATTTTATGAGAGTTTCTATACATCAGATCAAATGAAAACATGTTATTATTAATTTAGATTCTTGTCGAGCTTTACATCATTTCGCTTTTTGCTGTATTCATTTATCATGGATTCATAGATGGTACATATGTGTGATAATATCAGTCAACAATTGTTTTGTGGATACCTTGAAATATTTGCTATTTTTTAGATTCTTCCAAAACGTGTACATAAGTTCATTGAATTTTACACTGTTCTAATATACACTGTTCTAACGCCGTTTGCAATGGTTGGTTCGAGATCATTTTTCTGCTTCGTGATTTTATTGTTGAGTTTATTGCTTGAGAAAGGAAAATTGCATGAGAAGGGGAAGTTTGTTCCATCATTTAATAAAGAATTGAATTATATGCTGTCACTGCATTTTGGTTCGGGGTAATTTTTTTTTTCAGTTTTCGTTTTTGATACGGAGTAATTTGCATGAAGAAGATATCATGTAGCAGGAATGAGTTTCTAGACTTTTTATAGCTTGTGGTTTACTGAATTTCAAGGAGATCAAGGTGAGTTTCGTCTTTCTAGTTCGTCGGTCTATTTATTTTCCAGGTCTTTCTTTTTGAATGAAGTGATTTTTGAAATATTGTGAGGTTTTTTATCGAGGTATTTATTTGAAGCCGTTACCATTGGTACTCGCAAATACCCTGCCGCCAAGTACAAAACATCTTGTGTATTCGATAGTAGCTTTTCATTACGACCCATTTTTATTTTTTTTATTTTTCTAATAATGAATGATTTAAAACGGTTAATGGTTAAACTCCGTTTTTGTGAACAGGTTCGAGGTTTATTTGCAGATATAGTCCAATGTTGTTGGATCGCAATTATGTTGATTTGAAAAATCAAGTTATCAAAGCAGAACGGAAACTTCTCAATGCATTGGGCTTCGTTGTGCATGTAAATCACCCACATAAATTAATCTACGCGTACTTGTTAGCATTGGGAGGACTTGGAAACCATGAACTGACGCAAAGAGCATGGTCAGTTACGATTGAATTTCAGTAATAAAGATGCGTTTTCAAACGAGAGATTCATTTTAGGAATTATATGAATGATGGCCTTCGAACGGATATTTTTTTGAGGTATCATCCCGAGACAATAGCCTGTGCTTGTATCAATTTGGCAGCAAGTACCATATCGGTAATTTAGCGTTCTATTTTTTTCAAGATCTTCATTCTCGACTTTTCTTACACTGCATTTTTGGCCATTGATTTCGATCATTTTTATTCCAGAGAGCTCTAGCGTTACCTCGTCATCCATTTCCTTGGTATGAAGCTTTTGGCGCGAGTGATCGTGACATAAAGGCAATATCGCTGATTTTATTGCAATTGTATAAAAGATCTCGAGTAAGACTGTGATTATCCTATTATTTTATTCATTAAATTGTGGGTTTTCGTTTGATTATACTTGGTTTTTTTCGTTTCTAGAAATTTTTTCCGATATTTATGATTTTCAGGCACCGAATTGGTCTCGCCTAAATGAGATTTTGAATAAATTGCGGTTCGGTCCAGATTCTGTATTTGCAAAGGCCCAGAAAGTGGAAAAGATCGCAGATAAAGAAACTGAAAGAGCGAAAGCAATTCTTGACAAAAAGCGTAAAGAAATTATATCAAAGGCTGCTGAAATGGAAAAGAAGCAGAATGGTCGATTAAAGGAAAAGGATGGTAAAGATTTTTTGAAGATCTTAATGAATTCAAAAATGTTTTTTTTTATAGTTTATGTTTTTAAGCCTTTGTGTTTTTCCCACAGGTATTCGAAGAGAGCGATCTAATGATGGAGAATATGGTACATCAAATGGACGTTTTTTCTCCTCACCGACATCCTCAAGGTCGCGGTCCAGGTCGCCTGTCGAACCGCGACGGTTTGTTTTTTTTTTACGCTTCTGCTAAACATTTTCTATACAGCAAAATATTTGAAATATTTCGAGTTCAATGATAAAGGGTGAATTATGTAGAAAATTCTTGATGGCAGATTCGTCTACAGGATGTGTTATGGTACTGCATTTTTTCTCACCGTAACTATGTAGTTTTTATGGACTTCAGGTTTCGTTCTTCTCCTACGCGTGATCGTCGATGGCGCGATAGTTCGGTAGATCGTGACAGGAATAATTTGTATTCTTTAAAGCAGTCTCGAAGTCGACCTTACCGCCGAAGAGATGATAAAGACGAAAGAAGACATGGAAGAGATGAAAGAACTGTTGATCGTCATCGCCGACGAAGTCGAAGCAGAGACGATAGGAGGAAATTGGCTGAAAAGGTTTCGTATTAACATTTTTTTGTTTTGTAAAAGTTTTTTAAGCTAAATTTTAAAACAAGTTTAACACGTTGAATTTTTCACTTGAAATCTTTAAAACACTTTTTGCTCCCACAATGAATTCATTTATGATTTTGTGTCAAAATGCGAAAATCATTTAATATTAATATATTGAATATATTTATTGAAGAATCGAACACAAAGGGAGCGCGAAAAGGATGTCTACGTAGCATTAGGTAAGCGTAGACGTGATAGTGACAGTCCAGATGCAGTTCTTGGGCATCGTGTCAGAAGATGATCACTTTTCATTTAATGATTCCTTTTGTCACATTTCTCATGTGAATTGAGGATCATTCATCATGCTCATGTCTATTTTTGTATTCTTTTTTATGTGGTCCGTTTGCACGGTTGTATTTTACATTCTTGAATAGTTTTGAAGTTAAATCCTTTTTATTTCTTCTCGTGATCTTATAATTTATGGTTTTATTTATTGTTCTATTTGTGGATTACTGGAAGAGGCGTTGTTGTAATTGCAAATATCGAAAATGCTTGAAAACAATTTTCTCTTGTTTAATTATGATATACGGGCCGAATTTATTGTATTTATTGTTTCTCGTTGATTTTGCATATAATATTTTTCGTTTAAAGATTTCATCGAAGGGGAATTTACGATGGTCGAGAAATATTTGTTACTGAAAAATACCTTAGAGGTTTGAGAAGTATTTAGAGTATGAAAAAAGTTACGGAGTGCGAGGTCATCTTTTTTGTCTTCATTTTAATTTTGGTGACAAATAACTTCTATGTAATTTATAGTGTTATCATGATGGCCTTATAATTGCTGCTTTATATTTTCTCACACTTCAACTTTCATTGTATTTATTTTTTTACCGTTGAATATCGTGCAGTTAATAAAACTGATACGAGATTCTGCTTTCGAGTATTTTTTGAGCTAAATGGCGTTAGAATCAAAAAAATGTTCTTCAGAAAATGTAATGGATTTTCAGAAATCATTGAGATGTATGTTAAGGTTTATTTAAAAACGAAAAACAGCTCGTCTATAGGACACGCCTTTTTATTAATATATAAACATGCAGATAAATAACATTAAAAATGGCAATGTGAAAAGGTGCTAAAATCTCACCGAAAAATAGGTAAAATTATCTAACTAATTATAAAATTATCAAAATATAGCTTGCAGTATTTATATTTCAGCCTCAAAATATTGTCTAAAAGTCTTTAATTAAAATTTTAAGAAGCTATAGTGAATCGATCCAGTCGCGAACTGAACTGAGACCGGTTTTCCTGCCACCGTCCTCACCACCATTAAACCCTTTAATCGCGCAACATTCTATGAAATCGATCTTCGTGGTCATTAAATCATTCCATTGAAAGTCCTTTCCTGAAGTCAAATAACTTCATTTAGGTCGTGCAATTTATCCCAGAATTCATTTATGTACAAATAAAATTATATAAGAAATTTTTGAATAGCCAAGAAAGAAAAAACCTGTCGCAGTTAAAACTCTCTTTTTCATATCGCCATCAGTGGAATCAAGAGCGGCTTCACGGGTTCCATTAATTAATCCGAATTCATGTTCCAAAGTAATATGAATCACCTTAAATTTCATTTGAGATAATTGAAGAAACAGTGTCAACCATTTGCATACAGTTTGATCAAGGCAATTCTAGGACGTGGAAAAATTCTTGAAATAAATCGACGGAAAATTCAAATGTAATCATAATCATAATAGACCACCACAACTATCAACATGCTAAGTTTTTAAATATAGCATACTCGAGAGCTTTTTGCCAATGAACTATCTTGTTTGTTACATGTTACGAGAGATGGGACACATTTTCTCGATTCATAAAGAACGTCGTATAATAATTCAGCGACATCACGAGATTTTCTGCCGAATGTCGAACTGTCGATCACAAATATAATACCTCTTATAGATCGCCTCTTCTGAAAACATCATATCGAAAAATTACTGAACAATGCAAACGAAGGATGGAAAAAAGATGTAACAGGATGAAGAACGATTAATAGAAAAACACTCAATGACTACCACATATAGTTTGCAAAACAAAAGAAAATTCTTTCACTTCACTCAAATATTTGTGAAGTAGACGTTTGCGAAGTCTTTCAGCTCCAGGAATATCTATTAAAGTCAACTCTCTTCCAGCTGCATCTCGAAAGAACTTATATTCATTCTCTTTAAAAGAAGAATAGGTCTCTGGAAAGAAATCTGAAATTTTCAATTCATTTACTTTTCGATTAAATACAATTTGATATGATAATCTGATAAAATCTGATCAATTTTGCCAAAAAAAAATTCGAGAATGCATCCAATATGCAATATCAATATTGCAATATCAATACAATATCAATATTTGTAAAATTTTAAATAACTTCGAATCTTGAGAGGTTGTATTTCTGTTCCGCTGTTATTTTTTACCCTATTTCTGGAATATTTAAAATTTCGATAAACGATAAGCTAAATCCTTATTTTTCTAAATTTAAAACAAAGAAAATAGAAACGCATAACATTTAATAAAAAGGAAACAATAAAATTAATGTAAAAATAAAAATAAATTCAATTTTTTTAAGATAAGTTTTGCATTTTTAAGTATATTTTCTTTTTTATTTTTTTTTTCTTGCTTAACTTTGTTTCTCTGTGTTTCACAGAAATACAATATCAAAAATTCAGGTGACTCTTAGAGACCCAACTGCAGATCTATTTCCAAATCACTCTACAGCCTAGCCTTAATACCCGCATGATATCCTCAGTCCAGTAGCGCAAGAGATAAACATGTAACAAGGGTACATTAAAAAGAAACGATCCAAAGGGTTGAGAACAAAATGTGTTTTCAAACCAGTAACTGCTCGAAATCTGCCAAGGAAAATGACTATTTGTAGATGTAGCAGCGTCGAAAGTAAAAAAATTTATCAATAAAGCCACTTAATTAGAAGTTTTAATATATGGGAATAAAATAGAACGTTGCAAGCCAAACGCACATTGTCCACACTCTTTCCAAATATAGTGTGGATGTCGCCATTCCGCCTTCCTTACCTCAGGTCTCGAGAAACTGCCAAACCTGGATCCAAGAACAGGTGCTGTATCATTGCGGTGTTCCGGATAATTCGGGATGAAATGGCAATAGCGATTGTCGTCGGATATCCCATGCATATGCTCCAACTTTGCCCAGACAAGCATGAAAAGGACAAGATCTATTCAGAACTCCAACAACACCTCTAACGAAAGGTTCTATACTATACAGTCGTTCCTATCGCGGAGATGAAACTGATAATCTTCACAGAACAAACCATGTTATGGTTCGAATTAAGATACGCATAAAACTGACAGTTCGAAAGAAACATCTCCCGAGATCCTTCAACAACATCAAATTGAAAGAATAGAGCAACAGCATTTCAAATTGAATTATTGAAGCACCTCAGCGAAATGAGAATCAGTGATATCTTTGGAACGGCGAATGAATATTGGTCTCAGCAAAAGACATGTCTCTGAAAGTCAGCTTCTTCTACGCTAGTATATAGTAGTAGAAAATATAGTAGCAGAAAAAGCGCTAATTGGCTAATTGAAGCAACTGCTTGTGTCTGGAAAAGCAGCGAAAAACACGAATGTTAAGAAAATTTGGCTATAGGATGCTTCGAAAAGATATAACGATAGCAGCACAGCGAGACGAAAATCATTATTGCAACGATAGAGCCTTGAAAATGGAGATAATGGCTCCATCAGACGACATTAGAAAACTATTCCACCTTATTCATTAAGCGATTATGACCGAGATGGCAATGCTGTTAAGGCTATTAAGGACCGCCATGTACGAGGAAAGAAAATCAAGCTTAACCACGATGCATCATCTATTCCGGATATAGCTGATTCCGCGCTTTAGAGAGTAAAGGAATGCGACGGTGTTTCAGAGATCATTCGACTCATAAAGGCATTTAATCAAGTATATCGAAATAGATCTGAGTATATGGGGAACTGACAAACTCCTTCGAAATAAAAGATCAAGTAGATCAAGGCTATGTCTTTTCCCCTATAATATTCAACTATGTAATAGAATGGATAATGGATATCGCTTACCAGCATTCAAGAGATGTAAAAATCAGTCCAGAACATATTATCACATATTTTGAATATGCTGATGATGTAGATCTTTTTGCTGAGTTATGAATGAATGCAAATAATGCTAAATAACGAAAACTGCACCGAAACATACTCAAGACAAATATAAATAAAGGGAAAGTCTTTTCGTTTTGCATGCCGGAAGCTCATAAATTACCTACTTTTATCAGTTCACACCGGTTGAGGAAGTGCCTCTAGTCCTCCAATCCCAAACCAAGCGAAAGACGAAATTGCAATCCAGATAATGGTGGCTAAAATTTCTTCCGGTAGACGAACTTTATGGAATCGTTGCGAAATCACAAGAAAAACTAAAGCCCGCGTCTATAAAGCTACAATTCACTCGATATTGCTGCGAGACATGGCTGATAATAGTGGAGGATATTAAGATTTTCCATTACCACTCATGTCTAAGGTACATTTTGCTCGTCGAACGGATAAAATCTCATTTGATTGCATCCATCTTCGCTCAAATGCCACTTATATTAATAATATCAGCACAAAATATCGTCTTCGCTGGTCAGGGCACGTTCTTTGTCATTCATCACAGGAGCTGACATATACTTCGTTATTTGCTACACCCTGTGACGGATGGCGTCAAAAGCTAAGTAGTTCAATCAAGACCTGGACTAACAAAATCAGGAAAGATTTTATAAATGGACCAACGATATATGGACTTAAACGAATGGAATAGAATGGCTTGCTGTCAGCGATTCGGAACGAACAGATGGAAACTTTTTACCCTTCTAGCTAGCGAATGTGATATTCATTTCATTTACGCGTAATTTTTAACTTTGAATTGAAAATTAAAATATTTGAAAACCAACCATAATTAATGAGCCTCGAAAAGATAACAGTTTTCCCAGAATCATTTAAACCAATAATTAAAATCGTATTCCTTCGATTTGAAAATTTTACTTTCAACAGATAAATTGCAATGGTCATTAAAACCACGAGAACCGCAAAAGCAATCGGCAATGCTGACTTCGATTCTAATTCTATCACTGTATCACCTTTGTCCATTGGTGATTGCTATAAACTTAATCCAAAATTTTAAGCTTAATCCGATTTACTTTAAATTTTGACAAATCCATACTGAATGCAAAAACTCCGAATTACGACTGGTTATTTAATCGGTCTAAATTTCAACAAATTCAGGTTGAATGCAATAATTGTAATATCTATTGAGATTTGATTTCTAGAACTGGGTCGAATCTTTCATCTAAGAACAACGGTAAATGAACGAGGTATTTCAGGTAAGAATTTAAAAAAAAAATTTCACCGAAATTGATGCAGCAATACGATTTCACTCTCTTAGAAATCTTTAAAAAAATCTATCTCATAATTTAAAATTAAAAATTAGCAAAAATATAAACAAAATGAAGAAAATGTAGAATTGTAAGAGCCACAGTCTGGATTCACTTGTTGCTTCTCATTTCTTTTTCCTCATTTACAAAATGAAAAACCGAGATTAGGAGCAATCAATCATTGATGACATTTTAACAAAAAATATTGAGCATAAAAATCAAAAAAATATCTAAATTTAATAAATTTAAGTACAGAACCTACTCTGATGCATAACAAATTTGTGAAAAATACTCTGAGACATAACAATCACAAATTCTTTATAGTTAAAAACGAAGGAACCTTAAATAATATCTAAATTAGGAAAACAAAGAAAACGAATATACAGTTTACAACGATCAACTGAATACCGAAAAATCTAGAATCTGGTAAAATCACTTAAAAAACATATAAAGCACTAATGATTCTTTAGTATTTTAAGACTCAAACAGACAACAAGCTATAAAATATACATATCATCATGAAGCAATACCATATATCTTCTTAATTTTTGCAGATAGATTAACCTTTCCCTTTACCTTCTCCTTCTCTTCAAACAGTACTTCACGACCGACTGAAAAAATTCATATTTCTATAAAATCTTTTTGAATCAATGAGGTTTCGCGAGTAAATTCGCAATAAAATAAAATTTTTTACGATATTTTGAAGCAAAGAAAGAAATTTCATGCAGCCTTTAGTCTGACATAAAGCTTAACTATTAAAATTCAGAAACCACACTAAAATCGACGACAAACTAAAAGTGCCCAGCTTCAATTAACAAGTATCGATAAGGCTTTAAGAATTATCGATTGAAAAATCTCAAAAAAAAACGGCCAGCTGCCAGAAAGATTCGGCAAAATTTAAATAACATGAGAAATAACATAATGGATGCTTCACAGGCAAAAAACTATTGCGATATGGCGGTACAATAACCAGTACTGAAGTTTAAATAAGCAATGACGAAAACTATCTCCTTCGTAAAGCAATTCATAATTCGAGATATGCCAATGAGATCAATGAAATGAAAGGAGATAAGGACGAGGCACCTGGTAGCTCTAGATGAAAGAACTCTAGATGAAGACTTTTTCTCAAAAAAAAACTTAAACTTAACCAAATGTGCTATCCACCATTACAGGAAAGGGGCAGAAGTTTCGAATCAAATTACTGCAAATGACCGCAGCCAACAGAGAATAAAGTAATATCCATAATTTAGAATCTTAACCCTAAGAAACCCAACGAAATTGTCGGCTAACATCTTTCATTACCCACTCTAAAAACTCATTTGCTAGAAAGTCGCCTAATTAATTGATTTAGGAAGAACTTACAGCATATGAAAGAAGTAAAACTAATCATGCACATATTTCCCATGAAAACTGATAAAATTGATAAGTCGAACTTTGATAACAAATGAGAAATCGGTCTACCAGGCATCTCTGGGAATATTTTCTTCCATCTATCTCTTTATCTTTGATCACTGATGGTAAAGGGAAATTTACATGCGAACCGGACGTACTAAATCCCAAATAATTGAAATATCATCTGCATTAAAAATACAATTAGAGACGTTACTTATGGTGGTTAGGTCATGTTTTTTGCAGTCCACCACAAAAACTGATGCATATCCCACCCAATATCAACTGATGGCTCAAAAACGAGAAGCAATCAAGATATGGATTGATACAACCAAGCGAAATGTACAGTTTTCTTTGCTCTAGAAAAAAGATTCCATCTTAACCGATAATTTTAGTTTTCACCAATAAAATATCAAAGCATGGACATTATTTTTAAAATAAATCCATAATAAATGGTTAGGAAGAAAAATCGTAAAAAATAATATCTGTAGGGAAATTTTAGTTAAAAGTTTTACTAACTTGCTGGATCAAAGAAGATGCCAGAGGATTTCTCAGCAGCTCTCTCTCTCACCCAAATTCGCGTAGTACCAGAGATGACACTTGCAAGACGAACAATTACATAGCTGAAATAAATAATTGTTTAATTTAGACATAAAACCAGAAAAAAACTTTCAAATACAATAAAAAACGATTTTTCCATTTAATACTGAACAATACTTACCGACTTTTTGCACCCATCACCTGTGCATAGGAAGAAATATAAGCTGAAATATTATCTATAAATAATATCTTCAACTCGGAAGCCCGATTTATTGCCCTAAAATAAAACCGAAGAACTAATAAAACCAAAAAAGTCCAATGTCAACTACATCTCAAGCCAAGTAATTCTGCAATCGACTTGGGAAACGATATAAATCAAAAAGAAGCTGTAAAGTATGATATATCGGTTACTGAGGCTGATAGTTAGTAATGTATTACAAAGCTTGCAGCGAAAGAAATAGGCGTAAAACGGTCGCGATTATGGCTGAAACAATAAGCGCGAATGTCGATCTAAGTTCAGTTGAAAGGCAAAGTTGTCACCGTTGGTCACCGAGGACAACGTTTACGTTGGATATAAGCAGTATTGACGATGAGGTAAAAATTATTTTGATAGTGTAACTGTGAATTGTTCGACTATTATTTAATTGGATGAAGATCTATTTTTTTATTTAACAGTGTTTAATTGTTGTTCTCTGTCCATTAGTTAACCTCGCTACAGTGGCTGTTAGGCTGTTAGTTCCTTCACTTGCGGTGGAAATTCAGGCGGACGAGGAGCACGTGGGTCTTTTAATGGCTTTTTTCCAATAAGCGCGAATGTCGGGGTGAACAACCGAGATCGAAATGATAATCTAATCAACAACTGTTCGGCGTTTTACCCATATACAGTGGCGTAATCGTTATCCTACTCCCCGCGTATTTTTCTTTCTCTTTTAGCCTCAAACAAATTTGTCTTTCCATTCTTCTCTAGTTTCTTTTTTTTCTGCGTTGTTGGTTGTTGTGTGGAACATTTTATTGTTTGGGATTTATCGACTGTTGAATTTTCTATAATCATTTTCTATTATCATTTATGAAAAGTTAGAATAGAAAATAATGAACGGTTGCGATATGCTGTTTGCCTGCGTCATTGGCTGATTGAACAGTGATCGAATTGGTTGATGGTCGGGTTTTTGTAAAGTTTCCTAAACATCTGTTTAGCTGTATTAGAATACAAATATCATATTAAGTACTAAAACATACAAATGCAAACAAATATATTGAAATAATTTTGGTTTTTGTTGAGTATAATGCCATATTTTCTTATATATGAGATAATAGTTTCAATGATGGCAGAGAAGAGATATACAAAGTAAAAGAATGAATGAAAATTTTATAAGAAATACGGGCTTATCGAGTAAATTAAGAAAAAAAGAAATAAAAGAGGAAAAACAGTAGTTCGGAAACTAATGGGAACCCCTAAAGCAACCTGAATATTTCGAATGATCGATAAGTGCCTATAAAAAGTTTTGGATGGCTTTTGACTCTGATTAAAGGCACCCCTTCCAGTTGCACATTTATTGAATAGTACCAAATAAATTAACTGCTGCCAGACATATGTATTGATTTTTTGTGATATGGCTGACTGTAGAAAGTCCCAAGATAATTTATTAGCAATATAAAATTCGTAATAGATAGTACTATATCACGACTTCACATTTCGTTAAGCCTCAAACTTAGGTTATTAACCCGTAAACATAACGTGGTGCAAAAATTTATGAAATTGAACTTTACAAACGACAATAGAAAATAGTAAAATTAAAAATCGTGACAAAATGAAGTTCAAATATGATAACAATAAAAGTTAATTTTTTGATAAGTTTGGAACAAAGCCAAATACGATTTGAATATAAATGATCAATCCTTTTGCAGCATACTAGGACAAACTGTTTAATTCCTAAACCCTTTATATGTCTAGTGTTCGAATCGCAGCCAGTCCACCTGTCCGATGATGGTCTGTGAGCAAAGACCCTCTTATCTGCCTCACTGCAATTACGAGAATACTGCATATTAGAGTTGTCGAGTTTTGAGGAACCAAGACTACGAGGATAAATGGGCTGCTGGAACAAATCTTAAATGGACAGAATAAAATAATCTAGAATTGATGGAATGCTATTACAGTGATAGACCTAATGAAAGGGGTTATATGAAAGAATTTTGAGTGGAAGCAATGATAAATATTTCGCAATTGTTTCTACGGTAACCTAAATCTTTTAGATATTATGATTTGCAGCAACAGTATAAGAAATTGATGAATTTCGAGTCATTTTGTGCTTCGAACTTGTCTCATCCAGCTTCATCAGAATTATATGGGAAGCAAGAGGATTTCATATTTTCTCCATTAAAGAAAAACGGGGATATAAATCAAAGCAGTTCAATGTGAGCACATTTTTCACTTGATTAAAACAATAATGAACAAATATTTTTTAAATTATGAATGAATGTAATTTAGAATTATGAATTAAAGCTTAAAAGTGCAAATTCTCATAAAGTTCTTCAGCTGTTTATGAAATTTGAAGTAATTCAGGTCGAAGTTGTAATTTTTTGTTTTTTTTTAGTTTTGTGGATTTCTTTATTATGAATTTCTTTATTAATCATTAAAATCTGTATGGAAAAAATTCTCGATAGTAATTTTATCGCACGATATAATTTATATAATTTTTTATGATTATAAAGTTACAGCCAAAGAAAAGAAAATTTGAATGAACAATGCAATCTTTCATTGGAAAAGCAGAGTTCAAATTCTGTTTGTGGACAGTTGGCGAAAATGGTATCTTCGAATTTCCTCTTAAATCTTCCAAGTTTACATGGAGAGAAGTCTACATAAATTTTTGATAATTTTTGTAAACTCCACCCTTTTATTGAGTTAATCTTGGTGACAATCATATCTGATAAATTCAAGTAATAATTTTTTATTAGTCATTAAGTAAAAATTATAATAAATTAGTAATAATTTAATTTAATAATAATCTTTTGATGTAGTTAGAAATCTTTCTTCTCTCTACTTTTAGACTGTTGGACTCGATGTTATGTGGCGTAAATTCGAAGATTCAGAAGATGGTACAAGTGAAGGGTATGATGAAATGGATGAGGATTCTGATGGTGATGTTGATCACGATAAGGAAGGTTTCATATTTCTTTAACCTCAGATTTTTGAAATAAATACTCCCCAGTTCTTTTTTTGGACTCTAGTTTGAGAGGGAACTTTGGGAAATGCATGTGAAATTTGGTTTGTATAAACTCATTCCTATGGATCATTCTATTTATAAAATTATGTTTGACTTAAGAATGAATTTAAGGAGCATCCGACACTGAAACTCGAAAATTACTCGATGATGCGGCTGAAGAGGATGATGATGATGATCTTGATACTAATATTAATGTGGCTGACTGCATCCAACAACGATGCAATCAACCCAGTTTGGTTAATGTAATTTATTTAGAATATTTTGCAAATAATTACTTTATATTTCAAATTACAAGAAAAAGCCGCTCCTAACTCTTTTTTATTTTTGCATCGGTTCTTTTTAAATCTTTTTAAATTTAAATTCTTTAATAATTTTGCTCCAATTTTTTTAAAATTTTTAAGCTGCTTTTTGCCAAATAATTGTTTTCAATTTAATATTTTTTTCATTTTTTGGGAAAAATGTTTAATTCATTTACTTTCCATTTTTTTCTCCATTTTTGTTATTGACAGTTTTATTATTTTTTTTGATAGAAATCTTTTTCTGATCACTGTTAACCTTCGAATTGTAGATTACTGGTAAAAAAGAAAATAACGAAGATACCAACTTAGGAGTGCAGAGAAATTCATGCTTAGATGAGTCTATATATAAAATAAACGATGAACAGCGCAAGTATTATTTGAAGTGTTTCAACCACTTAATGATGGTTACTGTGGTAAGAACCAATTGGATTTTTTTTATATAGCTGTCATTTTAAAATAAAGAGTAGTCTTCACATGTACATTTAAGAATATTTGCTGGTGCAAAATAGACTTTTTATTTTTCATGTACTGAATAACTGTTACCGTTTAAAGGGGCATGTTGATATCAGTGGCGCGGTGCAAGGAGCTCATGAGCAAGTTGTAAATTTTTTTAAAAAGAGCAAATTGGACCGAGAAAAATTGTCGAAGATTTGGGCATTGAGTGATGTAAACGAAGATGGTTATCTCGATTTTGCAGAATTTTCAATAGCAATGCATTTGGTTGTTTTGTATGTTAAGGTAAATGCTAGTCGATCTTTTATTTGATATAAAGTGATGAAATAATTGATCATTTTTCAAATTTCGAAAAAACTCAATTTGATAGGGCTCTGTTGATATACCAGAAAAGCTTCCGATCAGTGCGCGACCACCAGTGACAGCGCCTCGCAATTCAGGTAGCTTTTCGTCATACATATTTTTTAATATGGCAGAAAGGTTATATATTTTTTATTGGTGTTAATAAATAAATAGTTTTTCTAATGATGCGAAAGTCAAGCAATAAATGTTAAGTAAATATTAATATTCGATTTAAACTAAATAGATGAATGTTCTATTCTCAAAAAATACAATCGATTACACGAATCAGTTCGAATATTAGAAGCTAATTTTTGATAAAATCTGATGATTCGAATATTTATCATGTGAATCTTACAAATTTGTTGGTGCTGCTAATAGCAATTATATATCTGGTTTGACTGGTTTCGCATTTCAAACCGAATTATTGAAGCATCTTAATGATACAAATATCAATGATTTTTCTGGAACGGCAAATGAATACTGGTCCAAACTAAAGGAATGTCTTCGAATGTGAGCTACTTCCACGCTAAGGCATACTAATAGGAAGTGTGCTAGTTGGGTGTCGGAAGCAACTGTCCAACTGTCTGAAAAAGCTACCAAAGCACGAGTGTAAGGTGATCCTGACCAGGTGTTTCGAAGATCTGCAATGAAAGCAGCACAGCGGGACAGAAATCACTATTGGAGTGACATGGCTTTGAGAATAGAGACGGCGGCTCGATTAGACGATAATAGGAAACTATTCCTCTTTCTTCATAAAGCAACTATAACTCGGGAAACGATCAGTGAAATGATAAGGGATAGCAATGGCGTGCCAGTCAAGAGCATTAAGGACCGCCTCATAAGATGGAAAGAATTCTTTGAGATCAAACTTAACCACGAAGCGCCTGTTGCCCCTGATATAGCTGATACGGTTGCCGGACCATACGTTTGCAATTGCGAGTCTCCAACAGAAGAAGAAATAATCTCCGTTATCAATAAGCTTAAGGCCAATAAGGCTCCGAGAAGATGGTCTTCGGACCGAACTCATCAAATGTTATCTATCATCCTTCATAGCGTATCTTGAACTCAACAAATGTACTCTCTAGTATGGAAAAAAGAAATATTACCAGATGATTGGACCAAAGCAATTCTGCTTCTAATTCTCAAGAAACATGATAGGACAGGCCAAGACAATTATTGAAGAAAAAAGCTTACTAGATATTGCGAAAATTTTTGTTTCCCTGTTACTCAAAAGACTTATGACTTATGCAGGATACGCCCGAATCAAGCTGGATTCAGACCGGGGCGCGATTGTGCTGACCAGATATTCACGTTAAGAAGAATGTCGGAACATCGATTCAGATATTTGCAAACCACTGTCATATGTTTCATCCTTTGCGGCTGTATTTGATTAATTATAGAGCGGTGCTTTGGAGCGTGATGGAATGCAACGGTGTTCCAGAGAAGATCATTAGACTTATAAAGGGATTTTATGAGCGCATGTCGACGCAGGTCTGTGTATATGAGGAGCTGATAGACTCAAAATAAGAAATAAGAATTGAGAAAAGAATTGAGTCTGCAGAGAGAATCGGACTCAGGATCAATGTAAATAAAATGAAAACCTTTGTCTTGCACAGAAAATGCTGATAAAATACCTATTTTTATAAACTCTTTGCAGCTTGAGAAGGCTCGATTTTAACCTATCCATCCTAATACCGAATAGCCAGAAAAAGACGGGATTACGACCCGGACAATGGCAGCTAGAAATATGTTCTTCCGGTTGACGAAATCCTTATGGAGTCGCCGCGAGATCACCATAAAAACGAAAATCCGCATCTATATTACCGTGATCCGTTCGATCTTATTATATGGTTCTGAGACATGGCCAATGAGAGTGGAGGATATTAAGAAGTTATCTGCTTTTGGCCACTCTTGTACGGGTGCATTGACCTGTTAAAATATCACATGATCGCATCCTCGTTTAGAGCCACTTGCATTAACAATACTATCATTGAGCGTTGTTTTCACTGGTTAGCACACGTTCTTCGTCGTCCACCACAGGAGTTGACGTATATTTCGTTACTTGATAAACCGTGTGATGGTTGGCGTCAAAAGCGAATGTGCCAATCATGATCTGGATTGATATAGTCAAAAAAGATTTTGAACGTATAGGTGGACCAGCAATATATGGACTAGAGGATGGAAAAAGGAATGGCTTCTATTACTGTCGACGATGGCATCAGACCGCGCCACTTGAAAGCGTCTTACCCTTGTAGCCGTTGGAGCCAGCCTAACGAGTAATGATGAGAACTGTTAGAAGAAGGTTTGACTGTCCGTCAAGGCTATGTCCTTTCTTCTACAATGTTCAACTATGTGATAGCCTGGATAATGGATATCGCTTGTCGGCAATCGAGAGATGTACAAATCAGTCGAGTGCATTGTATCACAGATCTTGAATACGCTGGTGATGTACTCATTTTCGTTGATAGTTAAGATAAAATGCAAATAATGCTAAACAGTATGCCGACAACTATAGCGAGAATCGGACTTAGGATCAATATTAATTAAATGAAAGCCTTTTCGTCTTATTACCAAACTGATAAAATATCTATTTTTGTAAATTATTGCCGGTCGAGGAAGAGATCGATTTTAAATACCTTGGATCCATTCTAATACCGAATGGTCAAGCAAAGGATGAAATTGCAACCCGAACAACGGCAGCATTCTTCCGGTTGACGATACTCACGAAATCATCATAAAAACGAAAGTTTTTGTCTATATAGCTATGTTTCCCTCGATCTTGCTGCCATATAACTGCGAAACTTGGCCAATGAGAGTGGAGGATATTAAAAAGCAATCTGCCTTTGACCACTCGTGTCTAAGAAATATCTTATTGGTCCGCCGAATGGCTGAAAATCGCACACAATTGTACCCAACTTCGCTCAATTATTAATATATTTAATATATTGATATTAATATAATAACAATATAATAATATTAATATTTTGACAATACCAACGTCATCTTCACTGGTTGGGGCACATTCTTCGTCATCCACCATAAGAATTGATACATATTTCGTTATTTGCTAAACCCTGTATCTGACCCTTTCACCATAAAGTGACTTGGGGATAGAGTTACAGGTGGGTCCCCAGCAGCCACCCGGATTTTTGACATAATAGCAGGTTTACTCCTGCCAAAGACAAAAAAAAAAATTAAATTTGAAGAAAATAATAAAATGGAATTTAAAAAATATATATGTATGATTATATGCATATATATGAAATATATATACATATAATTATAATTTAATTGATTTGATTTAATTTAATTGATTTAATTTAATTGATTTAATTTCAATTTATTTAATTTTAATTTATTAATTTTAAATACCTTGGGTCCACCCTAATACCAAATGGACAGGCAAAAGATGATATTATAACTCGGATCACGGCAGCTAGAAATGCGTTCTTCCGGTTGACGAAACCTTTATGGAATCGTCGTCACCAAAAAAATCACCATAATAACGAAAGTCCGCATCTATATTGCCGTGATCCGTTCGATCTTATTATATGGTTCTGAGACATGGCCAATGAGAGGATATTAAGAAGTTATCTGCCTTTGACCACTCTTGTCTAAGGTATATTTTACGGGTTCGCTGAGTGGATAAAATCTCACAAGATCTCATCCACCTTCGTTCAAATACCACTTGCATAAATAATGTTATCACAGAGCGCTGCCTTCGCTGGTCAGGGCACATTCTCCGTCGTCCACCACACGAGTTGACGCATATTTCGTTATTTGATAAATCGTGTGATGGTTGGTGTCAAAAGCGAGGTGGGCCAATCAAGACCTGGACTGATACGGTGAGAAAAGATTTTGAAAAGGTATAGGTGGACCAGCAATATATGGACTTAGACGATGGAAAAAGGAATGGCTTCCATTACTGTCGGCGATGGCATCAGACCGCGCCACTTGAAAGCGTCTTACCCTTGTAGCCGTTGGAGCCAGTCTAACCAGTAATGGTGAGAGATGTTAGAAGAAGAAGAAGATTTGCTAAACCCTGTTATGGGTGACGTCAAAAGCGTGGTAGACTAATTAAGACCTGGGCTGATAAAGTTTAGAAAAGTTTTGAATATATAGATGAACCAGCGACATGCAGACTTAGACGATGGGGAAAGGAATGGCTTCTGTCGAACGGTTTGGAGATGTGTTATCCTTGTCAGCCTAATTAGTAGTAATGAGAGGCTGTTAAAAGATTTGATTGGCTGCACTATCAAGATATGCCTTCAACCTCCTCTTCCTACTTGGTTTGGCATATTCACAACTAGGCAAGGCGTTTCCAAGTTTCCTGATGTGTGTAAAAAGCATGGTTTAACGAGTTCACGCATTTCCATTTGAGCCGAATTTCAGAGGTTCGATGGCATTGAGAGTAGTAAAGATGTCATTAGAAATTCGAAGTATTGCTGGCGATCCATTTTTATTTCTATTGCCAATTTATAATCTTATTTATTTTTTTATATATCGATTTGATGACCGATTTTCGCTGTTGCTATTGACAGTCTAATGTTTAAAGTTTGTTGTAGTATGTATAAAAAGGCCATCAGCATATTCAAGGTCATTGATATACTCTGGACTAATCTGTAAATCTGTAATAATCTGCTGAATATCCGTAATGAAGTCTAATTGAATTTGAACGCAAAGCAGTTCATATTTCGAAGTTGTATCTATTTCTAATATATACTCAGTTGCTCAATTGCGGTGACGTTTATAGACAAAATGCTTTAATATTCTCTGGAACTTCATCATATATGGCTTTCCAAAGTGCCACTCTGTCTGTCGAGTTAAAAGCGACGGCAAAATCGAGGAAGCACACAGCGAGCGATTGCCGATTGCCGATGTTTCAATCCTTAACGTAAAAATCTGGTCACTATAACCGATCTTCTTCCTAAACCAGGTTTTATCAGAGGGCATCCTAACACACTATTAAAAGTACTTAGCAGAAATAAAAATCTATATCTAGTAAGCTGATTCCTGTTGGAGTGCCTCCTGTAATCTTGGCGAATTGGAGTAGTATTGTCTTTCTCAATGATATTTGCTTCTTTTTCCACATCATTGAATATAACCTGTACTAATATGCTGTGAAGGACGCTGAACAGCATTGAAGAGCGAAGTCTCGAGGGATTTTATTGGCCTTTAGCTGCTGTAATTTATTAAACAATTCATTTCGTACATGGTTGATTGCAGTCATGTATCTCCAAACATTTTCCAGTCATGTCTGGAATGTCTTATGGTCCATCATAGTCAAATTCAGGTTCAAAGAACTCTATCCATCGGAAAGATACGATCTTTAACAATCTTAATAGAGATATTGTATCACTAATTGTCTGTCGAGCTATGATTGCTTTGCGAATTAGACGGAGTAATTCTTCGCTGGAGAACTGGCAGGCTACTAGTATTATCTCGGTTTCTCATAATGGTCCCTACCATTGTTGGCTTGACTCTCTCCACTGATGACGAGGACGTTTCCAAGTCTGCCGATTCGATGTCGATCCTAAAAATAGGAAGCCACTCATTTTTCAATCACCTAATCTCATATATCGCTGGGCCGCCTAAACATTCAAGGTCTCTATATTGACCGTATCGTTTCAGGTCTTGATTAAACCTCCACTCTTTTGAAGCCCATCACAGGGTTTAACAAGTAGCGAGGTGTGCGTAAATTGTGTTGGGAGACGAAGAATTTAGCCAGACCGCGTAGAGTCTATGATATTCTTAATGCATGTGCTATGCGAACGAAAATAAGTACAAATCATATAAGACTTAACCATTTGTGGGATATCTAAGGTGTATCTTAGTCAAATGTAGTCATAGTCAGATAAGATCTTCCACATTTAGTGGTTTTCATCCTCATAACAAAAATGCGGCCAGATAGATGCGAAATTTTGTTTTCAAATTGATTTGCTTAAGTATAGTTGATATAATTCGAGTGATGACTGGCGAATTCCATTAGATATCTTCTGCATTGATGAAAGCATGTCGTAGTGGTAGATTCATACTGCTCTTCACTATATTGGAGAAAATGCT